TATATACATGTAACCATTTTCATCATCAGTACGAAAACAATTCTCCCATCTTCTCCCTTCTCATCAGTAAAGAGTTTTATGTCATCTTACTATTAAACATCACTCTTTGTGTTTGATGTCAAATATACTCATTTTTTTCTATAATGATATTGTTGGTCAGAATTTTTTTCTTTTTAGTAATGATGTGACATAATCTTTATTAGGTATTGAAGTATGTAGGAAAAAATATATATGGGCATCATGGTAGGTTTAACACTTATTAAAATAAAGTTATTTGTTGATCATTATGAGAAATAAACTTATCAAAATAAAAGTAAGAATGTAATATGAAAAATCAGGAAATAACTGAATTTATTATGAATTATTTGATATAAAAAAATCAAACAAAATCTATAAAAAAATCTAATTCAACATAGCAAATATAACTTCAAAATTCAAAAATTCAAACATGTAAAATAACCGGCCGGTGCACACAACTCGTATGAAAATCTTGTAATTTACAAATAATGCAAGGACCAACACTTCCTAACAATTATGTAATTTTCTAATCCATCTTAGCATTCTCTCTGTCAGAACTTGTTTTGGCCCAACTTTCTATACTAAAAGATTTTCGATTGAATCTCAATATACAAAAGAACTTTGATTGAATCTTAATTTTAAAGGGTGGCATTAGGGGCACACCCAACCACATCTCAAATCACACCCTCTCTCTCATGTGTTATAGTGTACTGGGTTTCACATGTGATTTTAAAATTTTAAAATCTCATATGAGGACCGTTGTATTGTAACATATGATAGAAGTGGTGTGGTTTGGGATGTGGTTGCGAGTGTGATCCTATTATTTTTTATTTTTAAAAGAAATTCAAATGATAATATGTTCTCTGTCACGTCAAACCACGTGAGCTTAATTTTTTAATCATAAATAATATATTTTATCTTGTTTTCTTTGGTTTTGGGACGGAAATGGTGAAAAGGTAAATAACTAATATTGAGGGGTTTTCCTCTAAGGGTTGTTTGGTTCAATTTCTATAAATTATAGAAAATGTTTTTCACCTAAAATATGATTTCTTTGTATTTCTTTAAAAAATTATAGAAAAATTTTAAGAAGTCAAAAAGTACCAAATTTTTTATTTTTTTTATTTTGCTGTTTGGTTCCAAACAAGAAAATAGCTTATAACTTTATAGAAAATTGGTATGGGACGGTTTTTGTTGATTAAATAAGGAAGGTGTCAGATTTTTGTTGATTTCCTCTCATTTTGAGAGAAAATTGTTTTTTGTAAAATTTGGTAGTTTTTGATATTTTATAGAAAATATTTTTATAAATTTTTTGTTGAACCAAACATAATTTACAGAAATTTATAGATAACTTTTAATTATAAAATTGACATTGTTAGATATTTTAAGAAAAGTTTTCTTAAAAAGTGTGCAAGGGTTGTTTGGTTGGTTTCCTAAAAATCAAAAATAGGAAATTAGGTCATGTAAAGCTTAAAAACATTATTATTTTTTATTTTCATTTTTAAAACTCACAACAACATGAAATAAAAAATTATTTTTATTTAACAACTCATTCACTTTATCAAAAAAATATTATTTTTATCCAACAATTCATTTCATATCATTCTTAAAAGGGTGTTCCTACAAGGACCCAAATATGAGACTCAATGTATGGGACATGTGAGGGTCACCATCTGGTTGCATGATGCACTGTTTATGAATAGTACATAATGCAACCGGATGGTGACACCTCACCCGTCTCATGCCTTCGGTCCTCTATTTGGGTTTGTGAGGCAATGTTCTAAAAATAAACCAAACACAAGAAATTTGTTACATCATCCAACTCATCTCATCTCATATTTAAAAATCACTCACATTATCTAATAATTCTCATTAACATTCCATTTCCACCCATTTCCTAAAAAAAACAAGGAAATTGATTTTATTAAGTGTGAGTCACATCATCCAATAATATACAAATAACTTATCCCATCTCATCTATTTTCTTATTTTTAAGAATGAACCTAACACAAGCATGAAACTATTATAGGAAATAGGTTTCTTATAACACTTTTCCTTATTTTTTAACTAATCAAACAATCATAAAACAAGTTTTCTTAAAAAATTACTTACATCATCTAATAATATGGTGACAACTCATCTCATCTTATATCTTATTCTTTGTTTTTCTTCTTTTTTTTAGCCAACCAAATAACCATAATACAAGATTTCATATTCTTTGATTTCCTATTCTTTGATTTCCCACTTTTTTTTAGGCAAACAAATAGCCCTTAAAATTTTTTCTACCACACTAACCGAACCAAACACGATAAATAAAAACTTTTGAAACCAAAAAACTGTTGTGGACTGACCGTCAAACCCAAAATTGGGTCTCCCTGGGCTCTTTAAGCAAATCAAACAGCCCCTAAAAAGAAAACAATACAATACTATGATAAACACACACTCAAATAATCTAATAATGTAATATGATAAACACTCAAAAAGGAAATTTTAAGTTGATATTTTTAGCATATTGTATTTTCATTTCACGAAACACCTCTGAACATTGGGGAGTAGTTACACAAAAACACCTCTTGAACTAGGGGGTATCTTACAGAACCCTTCTAAACTTTATTTTATCTCACATAGATTGGCAATATTTTGCAAATGCTTATAAATGAGTAGTTTTAAAGTTTAAAATTTTTTTCACTTAAAAATTTTTTAGTTTTTTATAAATTATATTAATGAGGGTTATGCGAGATAAAATAAAGTTCGGGGAGATTTGCAGGGCACCTCATATTTTAAGTGGGTTAGGTGAAATAAGCAAAGTTTGAGATAGTCATGTGCAAAAACTGTGGAAATTTAGGAGGGTTTTGTTAAATTAACCCTATATATATATATATCTTAGGCATTTAGTTTGTAACAATCAAATTCAACAAACAGACCAATTCCAGAATCAATAATCACTGAAAGAAGAATCTCAATTACGGGGCCACATATAGGTAAGAAATAGGTCATAATTTTCAATTTATCCATATTCCGTTTATCATAGTGATATTTCTCTGGAATCCGAGAGATTAGTTGAATAACTTAGTAATATCTAGAATTCGAAGGTAAATATGTAATATGGATGATTTAGAGCGTGTAGGTGCAATGAAACTCAAAAGATCGACGCATATCGTGTTTCCTGTGGGGAGTTCAAACGGATCAGTTACGAAAATGGATTTGTCTAAAGAAAAATTTCCTGGGGGACCCAAGAGGGGACATGTGAGGTGTCAACCCCTAGATGTATGATCTTCTGTTCATGAACAGTAGATCATGCACCCAGTGGTTGACCCCTTACCTGTCCCCCTATTGGGTCTCATGATTTAGGATCCGTGTAGAACAACTCTTGTCTAAAATAAACCTCGCGTATGCTTATGCCAAAATTGGAATTGGATACAAATAAATGTAGATGTAAAATTGATATCAGAGAACCAGTTGCGAAAATGGGTACTCACGTATTTATCCGATATAAAATTCTATACGAGGTAGCTTCGAGGCCTAGAATTCAGATTTTGATACGGAAGCCTAGAATTGTATTTGAACGAACGATTTCGTTCTCGGGAGTTGATTTTGTTGCCATTCGACAGATTATTCAATTTTCAAGTTATTGAACTTTGAAAGTTTTTCCTATTGGGCGTGTCAAATTGATTCAATTTCATAATTCTAAGTTTATGTAATTTGTTTGAGAGAAGAGTTTTCTTGGCGAGTGCTGTTTGTACAACGAATAGGCAAATCCCAACTTGACCCAACCGTTCTCAGCAATGCTCAATATGCTATTGTAACTCAATGATACAATTTTAAAAACATTTCAAGGGAGTGTTAAAATCCTACTCTTGCCGATTGACCAAAGGTTATCTCTTTATATTCTCCCAAAATTTTAAGGGATTTTTGTCTTTTAACCCAAAGTTTTACCATCACTTATTTAAAAACCCACCACCTCCATAAATACCCATACAGCCAAGACTTATTCATAAATCTAACTGGCAATATACTTTCAAACTTTATAATGTATTTTCTAAAAAATTCTAAAATTCAGATTTTCCTTTCTTCCCGAAATAGACCCATCGCATATCTCTTTTTCTCTGTTCTTTAGTTTCACAAAACGAGCTTTGCTACAGGGACCCAAAATATGGGACCAATAAAGGGGACAAGTGAGGTGTCCCCCTCCTATTGGATAATGAGTTGGCCATCATTAATGATGGCCAACTCATTATCCAATAGGAGGGGAACACCTCACTTGTCCTCTTTATTGGTTCCATATTTTGGGTCCTTAAAAAATTTTTCTCACAAAACACTGAACTCACAGAACCAATCCTCAAATTCTAGGTGTAGTTAATCCCCGAAACTCACCAAAACAGATCAAACTATAGCACTTTATACGAAAACATAGCTCTTTAGGAGAAAAGAATAACACCTTATATAAAAGCTTAATAGCCATCTACGATTAAATTGTATCTCTTTATTGGTATAATATAACTCTTTATTAGTTCTGGGACTAGAGAAAAGATATATTTAATGATTGTAAATAGAAATCATATGAAAACCAAATATAATGTCTTTTATGAAGAGAAATATCAATAAGAGGAAAGAGTTTTGTAAAGAGAGACTAGATATTAATCGAGGGAAAGAGAGATTTTGAAGATGAAGATGTTTAAAATTGCAGTTTTGGACGTAAAGAGAACAGCCTGCGAAAAATAAATTTATTCCACCATTTACAAGAAGAGAGGAAAGGGCTATTTTGGAAAAAAAAAAATCTTGAGAGAGACAATATACAGTTTGAAGGTATAGATTGGATTTAAAAATAAATCGTATTGGGTGCTTTGTGAGCGTTTGTGTGTTTACAAAGTGAGTGGGTTATTAAATAAGTAAAGATAAAACTTTAATTAAAAGACAAAACCCCCTTTTTAACAATAGGTTCGCACAAGAGCGTATGATTACCAATGATTGAATTGAATAAGTCATCCTATAAAGAGTTGATAATTATATAAATAGACGAGTACTTTGGCAGCACAATGCTATATTAGTTCTTACACTTCTGGACTCCAAAAATGCTATATTAGTTCTTACACTTCTGGACTCCGGATGATATTATTTTCTAACTTAGCTAGAGATGTCATTCGAGAATCACATGACAACAAAAATGGTCATGTAAGTGGCTACACTTATATTACACAAGGTATATCCGCAGCTAACCATGCAGCATGTCCGTGCAAAATAAATAGAGAACAAACTTACAAGCCACTTACCAAAAGTTTCCAACTTTGAGCTTGGCCCTTTAAATGCGTCGAAGCTTTCGGTACACTCGTTCCCAAACGCCAAGCTAACCGTAGATTATGACACAAAAATAGGCAAAAAAAAAAAAAGTAAAAAATAATATTTTCAGACATAAAGGTGTACGACGCAGAAACCAGTTCATTTACCAATGAGTGCACAAGATAATTAGAAACAATAAAAGAAATGAGAGCAGTGTCACCTTCTTCATGTAGCCAACTCATCATCAGATCAACGATTTTGTGAGCTAATGATCAGCTGCAGCTTTTCTAGTCTAGCTTTGAGCTCAGATTTTTCTTGCTCCAATCTTTCTACTTCAGCCCTGAGCTCTGCATTGCTGTGTTTCAAGCTTTCTATTTCACCTCTTAGGTTTGTTTCATCATCCTGCAGCAGAAATAACAAGGCTCATAAATAATGGTCTAGGTATTTTGTGAACATGAAAAGTACTAACTGAACTATTTACAGACTTTATTACATCCCCATTTTATTTTAGGGTCTGTTTGTGAAAGGGGGTTCCATGCTAATACTTCTGTCAACGCCAAATTCACATGTCAACTGTTTGTTTTGAGGGAAGAGTTTGTGGGGGGAAAGTTGCGAACTGGATCCCACACTCAACATCCATCCTAACAATAAGTATGGAAAGTTCGGGATTTGAAGATAGCTGATTTTGTCAGGTTTCCAAAACTAAAATCTATAATCCAAAGCCTTAGCATTTCAAGCACCTGAATAAAGATATAATGCATACTTTTAAGTTACTCTCTAAGCATGATATGGTATTCCAGTGGTCATTCCATGTTATTATTTAGAGATTATCTATAAATTTCTTACTCAGGTGCTTTTGATTTTACAAAGGACAAAATAAGAGAGAAAATTTTATACTCTGGTAGGTGGTCTCTAAACATAAAGCCATCACAACTTCAAACCCTTCACATGCTTTTTGGCGAGTCTCTTTTCTGTTTTACGAATAACTAAAAGTTGGACTAACATCTTAAGGTTGTAACATTGCCAGTGAAGAGTGAGTAGTCAAGCAAAGTCAGTATAAAAGACCATTTTGTGGTTGTGAGTCTAATTGTGTGCAATGCAGGAGCCAGATTATATGCTATTTATTGGAAGTATATTCTTGAGCACAAAGCTCGTTACTTTCAAATGACTAAAGATAATGGCATAATGCTCTTGACCGTCAACTTAGAGATCGAACCCACTTTGTATTACCCTAGCAATAATAATGTCAACAATACTTCACAATACTCCATCATAATCTTGTTCAAGGATATGATTCATAGAATAGGTCTTTTGTCATTCTCTCTCAATAATGTTTGTAATCCAAACAAACCAATTATGATCCAATGACTGAAAGATAAAACTCTAATTAGAGCACAAACACCACAGTGCAGAGCGAAGCCTATATCCTTCTGTGACAAATCAAAATTCATAAAGAGACTTTAATTCTGTGTAACTACTAACACCTTTTCCAGCCTAGCTAACCAACTGTGGCAGCACTTTCGTTATATTCTAATGAAATGGGTTTTAATGCCATAAATTTGTCAGTGGCAAGCTTGAAAGCAATCAAAAGAATGGTAACATTTGGATTTTGCTAAGAGGATTTTGATGAGCGTTGTTAGTAAATACACCTAAGTATGATAGAGGTTTGGTGTTTGTTTTGGACATGTTGAAAATATTGTTCTCCTATATCCAGGGAGGATGAGGATTTATTCAATTTGTTATTCAAGAATGAAAGGAAACAGAACGAACATGAGGACATTGGTTGTTATTGGAAATAGTTTCTCAAAATAATCTTAATTAACGAAAAACAGAAATAGAATCATAGACCAAGGTGAATTATCAGTCGATATCGGTAGGCATCTCCATACTGAATTGGATTTTAAACATGTCAATCATACCCATCCAATAGCAACTGATACTATCACTAGTGGCTCAGGGAACTAATACAGATCAATATAGAGCAATAGCAACTTAGACCAGGGCACCTGAGGTTTCAACTTTCAAGTATCAGAAGTTGATTTGATAGTGTTATCTATGTCTTCTTATCTTATCTCATATATTAAAACAAAACATTGAGACACATCGTGGCAACTATCTTATCTTATATGTTAAACCAAAACATTGAGAAACACTGTAGAAAATACAGCACAATTTTTAATTTTCATCACAACTGCATGCTAACTGACATTTAATTACTCATCCTCTTGCCAAATAATAACCAACTATTTCAAATGTATAAAGTTCAAAATATGTGAACAATGCCATGTCCATTTAATGCCATTGGTCCTTTGGAGTTTGCACCCCCCCCAGTTGAAGATATTTTCCCCCAATAATTGAAGATATCAACATCAACTTTTCAAAATCAAAATTCCCTCTTATAAACCATTCCCCCTCCAAAAAATATGTGCTCTATTAAAGCTCTCTCTACCTCCATTAAAGCTCTCTTATGTATTCGGCATCTACAAGAAATTTTACAACAGTTGTTAGCAAGGTTAGTTCTTCATATTTATTTCCTCTTTATTACATTCTCTTCATCTACATTCTCTAATTATTTGATTCTTTTGATTTCATCTTACAGGGGCAGACAGCTTCAATTGTTCCATTCAGTGCTCACCTGTATTTAACTATGGTAATATATGGTTGAAACCAATCTTGGTGTTAATTAAGAAGACAACTTTAGTGGCTATTTAACTATACACACTGGATTTGTTGGCAGATTAACACTACAATAACAATGATATTTATCTGTTCGTTTCTAGGTATGCACTTAAACCGGAAAGAAGAAATAAATTGATTTTGCTGCTAAACATTAACAGATAGTTTATGGTTTATAAATAAATCATACTAACCAAAAAGCAGGACATGAAAAAATAAAGCAAGATTATTTCACATATCAACTTTACATCCAATAATATTTTCAGCCTGAAAATTTTTCATTGCATACATCCATTCATTTCACATATCAATTTTACCTTCAAAAAATTTTTTATTTGCACGCAGCCATTCAGTAACCAAACCTTCTCATCGTCATCATAACCACCACATACATCAGAATTTATTCAGGCACAACATAGTTAAAAAGAGAACAGGAAATGGTGGAGGAATTTTGGGTTTTTTTGGGAGCTGAAATTACAGTCAAGGACATCTACATCTTATGTGCTTATGTTAAAATTTTTACGGGTAGTATACCAATATAATTATGTACGTTGTTGACTATGTGTTTAAAAAAATATTTAGACAATGACAAATTTTGATTATTGTAAAAGTTTGGAAATTGGAAAAAAAATTTCACTTGCTCATTGACAATAGTAAGCAAATATTGTTATCACATCAATTATTATATATTACTACTTGAGGAAAAAAATTTAAATTAAAGATGAAAGAGTGGATATGTGGAGGTGGGGGGAGAAAGGGAAGTGAAAGGTTAATTACAAAAAGAGGATAATTTAATAAAAACTATATAAAAGTGGAGAAGAATATTAAGAGCCTGTACCCAAAATACTAGTACTGGAAAAAGATAAAGAAAGCAATAAATGAATGGAAAGCTTGTGATTAAATTGATTTATTCCATAGGCTGTAACTCTAATCCAAAACTTTTCGATCCCTGAAACATCCATTACAAATATCAAAACCAATGCAAATCAAAACAGAGCCAATACCAAAATTTCAAATCTTGACATGACAGCTAATAAATTATACAGAACTCTAAAATTGAACAAATTCAAATTGTTACGGAAGAAAGATTTGTAATTTTGTAGATATGCCATAAGTAAATAAGTCCTAGCTATACATAGCAATATCAAAAGAAAACCCCTCAAAAACATTTATGCATTCTAGTCGACAGTTAGAGAAGTGCATCAATTAGTTCTTGCATAATGACGAAACTAAGATGATAACAATAACTTTCCTGATTTAAAAACAAAGACGACTCTTGTGCAAGTTGTCTATTTGAAAGAACAAAAACAAATCAGAAGCAAAGGACATTTTGGTTTATCTCAATGTTAATAATCATGAAACAAATTAGATACTGACCTTCCCATGAAAATGTTCCTGAGGTGATGACTGGCTCTTCCCTCCCATATACGGTGCAGATAGCAGCACTTCTTTCATGAATTCATGTGCTGCCACATCATTGATCCCCATGTTCTCATAACTCCAAAATGCACCAAGAGTACCCATAAATCCTTCATGGCATAAAAATGTTGTTTGTATTTGATCTTTGGACCTGAAACACGTTGCAATAAAAACACAAGTAAAATGAGAACAGAAAATTATTTAGAAAGGTGAAGACCAAAGGGAAAAGATTATTCAGATTATTACCAATACTTCAGTGAACGAGAAATCTTGTCCATTGTCTTAGCATGACCACATATGTATGAACCTCGGAAAAATATCCTTTTGAGTCCAGAGAGTTTTGACACAAAGTACGAAATCTGTATCGCATAAAATTTCTGAGAACATGTATATCAGTTAAAGATTAAAAAAAATATGTGCCAAAGATTTGGTAGGGTTGACAATGTTTATGACCTAGTTAGGCTTGCAGGTGTATGGTGAATCAAACCTATACCAAATACAATAGCAAGGGGGATAATACTCGAGGTTTTATGTGGATAGAATGGTTATGACAAGAAATGATAGGAATGGTCGAGAATTGCTTGGCAAACTTATTATTAGCTCCCATAAAAGAATGACAGATACTTTTGACTTAAAATATCATCTAATCAGCTACTTTATCTCATTCTGAAGATAACTCAAGCTCAAATAGACCATGATGTTTAAAAGTCGTCATATTAACGGATAATAGCTTCAGATAACGATATAATGGGCCCAGAAATTCCAAGGTATGGGAAGAGACGAATGAGATTTAATAAAGCCCCAGAAATTCCAAGGTATATCCTTATTTAAGCAGTTCATATAGCTTTGTGTTCAACCTGAGCACATATATAATAAAAAAAAGAAGTAAATTTCTACATAGGAGCAGCAAGTATGAGGATTACTTGATTTAAGATATCAACTACAACAATATTTAAATAAACCAGAGACCTACACGAAATTATTATCCATGAACAGAATACACTACACAATTATTTCCTGATGAAACAAGAAAGATCTCCAATACCTGTCCAATGTTGTATGTGAAAGCATTCAAGAGAGCTGCGGCCAGATCCTCTATTTTGTAATCTGAAAGCTTGTTTGATGATACCTTTCCAAAGCTAGAAGCGGTAGTCGATGCTGGAAGTCCATGCTATGATGAATAAAACAAACAAGATATTGTTACTTAACCTATAGAGAAACAATGAAAGCTCAGAGCTGTATAAGCTTATCTGGCCATGATAATGTGCATATAGCTATCCAACAGATGCTGCAATTTCTATGATCATTGAATTGCTAAACCTATACTCTGTAAAAAGCACTGCAGTACACAGTCAAGATAAGACTTGAGCATGGCATGGTTTTTTACAGGGAACCATCCCTAACTAGGCCCAATTTCATGTTACCACCTTTATACCTGAGTTTCCAAGTACCACCCTTATGTGTCATTCCGTCTACATATAACCCCCCACGCTCACTTCCGTCTAATTTCTCCATTAAAACTAATTAAAAAAAATCAATTATACCCTTTGTTTGACGTGCAAAAGAAAATTAAATGCAAAACAGTTTTGTTCAATTTCCCGTTAATATTAATGAAACACCAATTTCTTGAATTTCCCCCTTGGTTCTTGCTTTCATGTTGGGCCACATCCCTTTGAAAATGGGCATGTGTTTAGCATGTGCATGAGTAAATCTGCCAAACAACATTTTCATAAATGGAAAAAATTGAATGGAAGTGGAATAGGTGGTTATATGTTGACAGGATGGCACGTGAGGGTGGAATTTTGAAACTCGGGTAATTAAAGGGGGTAACATAAAATGGGGCCTAATTTTGGGTGGTTCTATGAATCAGAGTAATATAAAATTAATCTTGATACAGGATTTCCTGTCCACAACAAACCTTTACCATGCATTAGTTTGTTCGATTTTTGAATCTCTTTTTATCTTTAAGTTAGTTAAAGATGTTCTCACTCGCTCTCATGTATAATAGAAGATCATCATTTGAGATCTCCATTCCTATTAATCAAAATTTGCAGGAGGTACAATTAATTCCTACAGATATATATTTTCGTTGTTATATTAACCAATACAATATTATTTTAGAGAGTAAAAGTATGTATACATTCAACTAATTAAAATATATATATATATACCTTCAGGTAACCGTGCCCCCCATAGATATCACCAACTGTCAGGTCCACTGATAAATTATTTCCCCTCTGACTCAACTCTAAGAACTCATCATAACTAAAGCAAGAAACTCTTGTGAGGGTTTCAGAGCAAAACATATTTGTTATTGAACAAGATCTCTTGTTAGAAACAGTAATACCTCGTACATCCAGTCAAAAGTCTTGCAAGGCCAAGTATGGTACCACCACCTAAATGTGTCCCAATGATGCGCTCAAACTTCCCTTTCCCAATCACCTGTTTACATAGGAAAGAAGTATATGCATAAGCACATACAACCAGTAAACGGAAGTAATAAATGGTCTGAAGATTACCTCAATCAAACTGACACCTGAGCCAATATTAACAAGAAGATATGGGAATATGTTGCTATCGTTAAGGTCACTAGTAAATTTTGCATCTATAGGTGTAGAATCTTTATGAGAAGATTCCTGCAAATTGAACAACAAAAAGTCAAGAGCAATATATTTTTAACATACAGGTAGATGAACTTAATGAATTGGAATGCTAAAAGTATCTAAATCATACATAAAAGCGTCAATGATTGATCAGTATAGTCTACAGGAATATTGTGCAGTTGGATTGCTCACAAGGCTCTGCCATGTAAAACTTAGGAAGCAGATTTTACAGTTAAAAGGTGTTGAAATTAGTTATTCAAAGTTAGGAGTTAATTGTAATTTACTCTAGTTAGTATTTTATTTAGTTAGAGAGAAGATCATGCGTGATCCTCTTCATGATTCTTTCCTATTTTGTGGGAACAGAATCAATTAGTTCCTTTTCTGTTTTTATTCCCTAGTTAACAATATATATGTAATTCTTTCCTCAGAATAAAATAAGAAAGAGTTTTCTCAATTTCTTCATGGTATCAGAGCGATTCTATGAACCCTAGCAGCGCCGCCCACCCTATTCTCTCCACCACCTCTTCATCCGACTGAATCCTTCCCATTCTTCACCTCTCATCGTTTCTAAGATGACGAAATATGGAATGACTTCTTCGCAAACATCCATCACGTCGTCTGATACTACATCACCGTCGGGAGGAAATATGGAGACTACACATCTTGGTGGACCTAATTCTTCGCCTATTCTGATCACTAGTCATAAACTGAATGGCCACAACTTTCTTCAGTGGTCTCAATCAGTTATGATGTTCATCTGTGGAAAGGGCAAAGATGATTATCTCACGGGTGAGGCAACTATGCCTGCTACATCAGATCCTGGCTACAGGAAATGGAAAACAGAAAATAATATGATCATGTCATGGCTCATCAACTCCATGAACAATGACATTTCTCTGAGGTCAGACGTGAAGAAAGTAGAAAGAAAGTGATGATGGGGCCATCAGAATCAACACTAGATGCATCTGCTCTTGCTGCTCGTGGATCCAACAACACAATCCCGGGTGAGACTCGGAAAAAGGGGGAGAGACCTTGGTGCGATCACTGTCATAAACTCGATCACTATAAGGAGACATGCTGGAAGATTCATGGCAAGCCTGCTGACTGGAAATCGAAACCTAGGAATGACCGAGATAGTCGTGCACATGTGGCATCCAGCACAGCTATTCAGAGCCCATCCGAACCCAGTCCATTCAGCAAGGAACAAATAGAAATTCTTCAGCAATTGTTCATTCAAGCAACACTGAATTCTTCTAATGCAGGGACTAGTTTAATAGCTCAGAAGGAGTCCCATTCTGCTCCCACAGCCACTAAAGGTGTTAGCAGACCCTGGATTGTTGATATCGGAGCCTCAGACCATATGACAGGAGATGCCTCACTGTTCCATAATTATAGAACCAGCAACGACAACTCCTCAGTGCGAATTGCTAATGGCTCACACTCCAAAATTGCAGGAACAGGTTCTATACAACTCTCAAAAGAGTTACATCTCACCTCTGTACTTCATGTACCTGACTTAGATTGCAATTTACTCTCAATAAGCAAGTTGACTCGTGATCTCAACTGTATAACTAAATTCTATCCAAATCTGTGTATTTTGCAGGACTTGGATTCCGGGAAGATGATTGGCAGTGCTGAACTGTGTAATGGGCTCTATCTTCTCAAATGTCCTCCTTTCAATTCCTATTTAAGAGCAAATTGTGTCAAAAGTCTCTCAGCTTGTTCTTTTAATTCCATTTCCAGTTTGAGTGTCAATAACAATAGTGAAATTGTTTTGTTACATTATCGATTGGGTTATCCGAGTTTCATGTATCTTGCTAAACTTTTTCCCAAGTTATTTATCAATAAAAATCCTTCTTCTTTTCTATCCGAGTTTCATGTATCTTGCTAAACTTTTTCCCAAGTTATTTATCAATAAAAATCCTTCTTCTTTTCATTGTGAAATTTGTCAATTTGCTAAAACTTTTTCCCAAGTTATTTATCAATAAAAATCCTTCTTCTTTTCATTGTGAAATTTGTCAATTTGCTAAATACACTCGACATTCTTATACACGTCTTGAATATAAGCCTTCAAACCCGTTCTCTTTAATTCACATTGATGTGTGGGGTCCTTCTCGAATCAAAAATATTTCAGGGGCCCGTTGGTTTGTTTCGTTTGTTGATGATCATTCACGTCTTACTTGGGTATTTCTTATGAAAGAAAAATCTGAGGTTGGTCAAATCTTTCAAAGTTTCAACACCATGATCCAAAATCAATTCAAGACCAAAATCCAAGTTCTCAAAACTGACAATGCAAAAGAATATTTCACAGGCAATCTCAACTCATAAGTCATATCTCCTCGAACAAGGTATCATTCACATCAGTTCGTGTGTTGAAACTCCTCAACAAAATGGGGTTGTCGAACGCAAGAACAAACATCTCCTCGAGGTTGCTCACTGTCTCATGTTCTCCTCCAATGTACCAAAATTTTTCTGGGGTGAAGCTATTCTTACCGCTACCTATCTCATAAACAGAATGCCATCTCGAATTCTGGGGTTCCATTGTCCTCATCAAGTATTTCTTGATTTCTTTCCTCACTCCAGGTTTGTTTCTCCTGATTTGCCTCCAAAAATATTCGGTTGTACTTCCTTTGTACATATCCACTCGCAACACAGAAGCAAACTTGATCCTAGGGCTCTAAAATGTATTTTCTTAGGATATGCTCCTCATCAAAAAGGTTACAAATGCTACTCCCCACATACAAGAAAGGTATACGTATCCATGGATGTCACATTCTTTGAAAAACTGCCCTTCTATCCCAAACCTGCAATTCAGGGGGAGAGTGAGAGTGAATGTCAGTTTTGGGAAAATTTATCAGAGCCCTCACAGCATTCACAAAATTCTACAAATCAGTTCCAAGCGCAACAGACAAAACCTCCTTCCAATACCTCTCAGTCACCTCGTTTGCCATCATCACTTGAGCCTTCAGAGTCCTCTCCAGCACAAATTCCACCTCAAATTCCCATTTTCCCTCAGCTCGCTCATGAAAACCTCAAAGTCTACCGAAGAAGACAAAATAGACAGGAAATAGAGCAAGCAACACAGCCACCAATCCAAAATTCTGAACCGGATTCATGTCCTCCTGAAGAGACTACATGTATGGATAGTGTTGTCCCTGATGAGCCAATGATTCCATTCATTCATGACTTAAACAAGTCTATTGCAGAAAGGAAAGGAGTACGGAAGTGCACTAGTCATCCAATTGCCAATTATATATCATATGATGGCTTATCTTCATCATACAAAGCATTTATTTCTTCCTTGGACAGTATACAGGTTCCTAACAATATACATGAAGCTCTCAATCATCCGGGTTGGAAGAAAGCTGTTCAAGAGGAAATAGATGCCCTCGAGAAGAATGAAACACGGATTCTCACTGACCTTCCAACAGGAAAACGACTAGTTGGGTGCAAGTGGATATTCACAGTTAAGTATAAGGCAGATGGGAGTGTTGAGAGACTCAAAGCTCGGCTTGTAGCTAAAGGATTCACGCAATCATATGGGATTGACTACCAAGAAACATTTGCTCCAGTGGCAAAACTCAACACCATTAGAATTCTACTCTCTTTGGCTGTCAATCATGATTGGAATTTATACCAACTGGATATAAAAAATGCCTTTCTCAATGGAGATCTCGAAGAAGTATACATGGAAATTCCCCCAGGACTTGAATGGAATCTCACCGGACACAAGGTGTGCCAGCTTAAAAAGTCGTCGTATGGTCTAAAACAATCTCCTCGAGCATGGTTTGACAAGTTTGCAAAGGCTGTTATGAGGTTCGGCTATGTTCAGTGTCAGGCAGACCATACGTTATTCATTCGGACATCACCAACCAGGAAGATTGCACTCTTGATAGTATATGTTGATGACATTATACTTTCGGGAGATGATGAGGAAGAACTACACAGATTGAAGGATCGTCTAGCCCAAGAGTTTGAAGTCAAAGATTTGGGGAGTCTCAAATACTTCCTTGGGATGGAGGTGGCTAGATCTCGAAAGGGGATTGTTGTTTCCCAACGAAAGTACACTCTGGACTTACTGAAGGAGACTGGTATGCTTGGTTGCAAACCTGTTGATACACCGATGGATCCCTACAAGAAGATTGGCTTAGAAAAAGATAGCACTCCAGTCGACAGGGGGAGATATCATAGGCTAGTTGGAAGACTGATATACCTTTCACATACTCGACCTGATCTTGGTTTTGCTGTTAGCGTTGTCAGCCAATTCATGCACAGTCCAACAGAAGAGCACATAATGCAGTCTACAGAATACTGAAATATCTAAAAATGACTCCTGGGAAGGGATTATTTTTCAAAAAAATCAGAAAACCGAAGCATTGAAATTTATTCAGATGTTGATTGGGCAAGAGACATTTCAGATAGGAGGTCTCCTTCAGCTTATTGTTCCTTTGTCTGGGGAAACCTAGTGACTTGGAGAAGTAAGAAACAATCAGTTGTTGCTAGGAGCAGTGCCGAAGCAGAATTCAGAGCATTAGCTCATGGAATTTGCGAAGGAATCTGGATAAGAAGACTTCTTAGTGAACTTGGTATGAGCAATCCTTCATCCATTCAAATGATGTGTGACAATCAAGCTGCAATTAGCATTGCTAGGAACCCAGTTCATCATGATCGTACCAAGCATGTCGAGATTGATAGACACTTCATTTCCGAGAAGATCACCGGTGCAGTCGTGCAACTGAATTACACTCCTACGCACCAACAGATCGCAGACATCCTCACCAAAGCATTGCCACGTCCTAACTTTGAAGATTTGAGTAGCAAGCTGGGGTTGTATGATTTATATACACCAGCTTGAGGGGGAGTGTTGAAATTAGTTATTCAAAGTTAGGAGTTAATTGTAATTTACTCTAGTTAGTATTTTATTTAGTTAGAGAGAAGATCATGCGTGATCCTCTTCATGATTCTTTCCTATTTTGTGGGAACAGAATCAATTAGTTCCTTTTCTGTTTTTATTCCCTAGTTAACAATATATA